AAAAGAAAAGAAAAGAAAAAGAAATGAGATCTTTGGACTTTAAGGGCTCATTCACCTCCAGCACAGCTGCCTGCCAAGCTGCAGAAATTACACTCTAGGTGATCAACAGGTGCTCAAGAATTTGGAACAAGCATCCTGTACCTGGGATGAGGGTGGGGGTAAAAGAAGACTTAGGGCTCCCTGCCTAGAAGTTAAAGTTCAGAAAAGGGAATGGATCCAGAGAGTCAGAGAGTCCCCACTTTCCTGAATTCTGAACAGTTGGGTGCAGTGAAGACCCTGTGATCTAACTCCTGTTAGATCACTCCATCAACTCTCACAGGAAGAGGAGCCTTCATTCCACACCATTGTCACTACCAGTGAAGTGCAACTTTATGTGGGAAAAGAATACTGCTTTTGAAGAATAAAGTGTGAAAATGTTATTTTTTCCATTAACTATCCAATGTGAATTATTGTGCTCAGACTAGGAACTAAAGTATAGACTTTGTTACATTATAAACATTGTTTTTCTACAGTAGACCAGCTGGAGGACCTCCCACATGAGAAAGAAATGTCCAGTCTAAACAGAGAGGCATCCATTTAGGGAGCCTGGCTTTGAACCTTTCCCTGACACAATCCAGTTTCCCTAACCCCTTTCATGCAGTATGGGTTTCTAGAACATTATTCCAAGTGTGTTGAGCCAAGAGGAAATGAAGATTAAAGTTAAGAAGGAAACCAACAGTTTGCTTTTAAAATATACAAGCAAAGTCTGGCTTTTCATAAGAGATCCAGGCTCTGAGTTCCAAAGCAAATCCAGTGAAATACCATAATGGAAGGGAACTGATAATTTCCCAGAGTTAGGGGATTCAATATGAAGGTCATTAGCAACTTGTGAATGTTGAGATCTGAAATGTAGCTAATCCAAATTGAGATTACACTGTACGTGGAAGATACAGATCAAATTTCGAAGACAGTACAAAAACAATGTCAAATACCTTATTAATAGTTTTATATTGATTACACATTGAAGCAATATTTGAGATATACTGAGTTAAAGAAAATGTATTATTCAAGTCAAGTTCACCTATTTCATTTACATTTTTAATGTGGCTGCTATATAATTTAAAATTCTATACATGTCTCACATTGTATTTATGTCAACAGCACTTACCTACTGGGGTCAGCTACACAGCCCTGCTAACCCCACTACATTCAGCTCTTCCTCATTTTTATGCAGAACCACATCAGTTTGTTTTCTCTTTAATTTTTAAATTCCTACTTACATTTTGATAAAAAAATAATTCTGAAGGGCAACTCAGATAAATCCAGGCAAATTGTGATGATAAAAAAATTAGAAGAGGAAAAAGAAAAGATCCAAAGCCCAAGGTCTTTTGGTTTACTGAGAAAAACAAAACAAAACAAAAAAAACCCTGCTCATCTGTCATCTATTTCTTTATCACGAGAGGGATGTACTTACTCTACATGACAAATTGCTGTCCCTCCTAGAGAATAAATAATGTAATCATGATAGATTAGTTCCTATTTGACATTCATTAAAAATGAGTGTGTTGAATTTAAGATCTCCCATCACATATTAGCAGATTCTCAAAAAGCTAGAACAAACTACCAGTTAAATGCTATGACTTTGTGAAAATAAATCTCAGTAAGTTCTTACCCAGGAAATTAAACTACTGGGTCCAGGGAGAACAGAAGGGAGAGGAGGTGGGAGTTGTGATGAGAAGCTTTCAGTTGCTGTACAACTATTCAGTCACATTCAGATATTTTAGAAAAACTAAAGGGTATTTGGGAGGTTGAGAGGAATTTTATGTTTTTGCCTCTAGCCTTAAACAAATCTTTGCTTCAGCAGACTTGAAGGTTAGGATAAAGGTCAACAAAAAACAAGACTAATCCTTTGGTGACACTAGCTGCACTAAGAGCAATACCATAGAAAGCCAAGGGTTGAGGAGGTGCGGGGCAGTGGCAAAACTTGTAATTCTCTATAGGATCATGAGATTGTACCTCCCAGGTTCCTACTGTCTCAAAGGTGGCCTTCGCCACGGCTCCCAGGAGTGACTCATTGCTTTCCACTGGACCTCTCCACGCTTATCAGAGGTTTAATACTCACTTTATTGAACAAAGCAGGAAAACAAGAATCCAGATGGAAGTTCGAATCTTTATTAACCAATCATCCCAGCCTTGCTTTTACCCATCCTTCATCCTGTACCTGAAGAGGATTCCTCCATTTTTTTTTTTGTTTTTTTGTTTTTCTATTTTTAAAAATTTCATGCCCAATTCCTGCAGAGGATTCCTCCTTCTTTATTGTTTCCTACTGCCTGCTGGGTTTGCTCAAGGAATGTGAATCACTGTGTAGTTTTCCCACCTGGTCCATCTTTGGCAGCCTCTAGGTAGCATTTCCCAACACTACAACCCTTCCCCTCCTACCTGTGCCTGTGATCCCTCCCCCATCCCTGGGCAACAACCCTAGTTTTCAGGTTACCACAAGTGTATCGGCTGGAGTTTTGTTAGGATGTTTTGAAATGATGAAACCAATCCCTCCCTCAAGGAAACTGAATCAGCAAAGACTATTACAAATGTCCCACATTTAACAATCATGTGAAAGGGAAATTAGAGTTGAGATTCATTCAGAAGATTCCACTTGTCAGTATTACGCAACTGGTTCTAAAATATTTTAAAGAACCCATTAGAAAAATAAAAATTCTCCTGAAATTTAAATGGATATGTGCTACAAAAATACTTAAATCTGTACAAACACAAATTTTAGCACCTAATCAAATACCTTCAAAGTATGCTGAAAAATGTATATAATTATTCTTAACTCACACTGAAATAAGGAAGTATTAACAATCTTTCTACATGTTTCAAATGGAGAAACTTCGCCACAGTAAGGTTTTACAAAGTGTCCAAAGGCACAGAGAACTAGCACAAGTCAGCCAGGTTTGCTCACTGAGGACCAACACCAGACAAAAGATTATGGAGGCAAAAAAAAAGAAAAAGAAAGAAAAAAGAGGATCGGGGGATATTCGGTAAAAAGAAAGAAATCATCCTCAAACCTAAACTGTTCCCTGGAAGTGAATATAAGCCTAAAGGTTTCTTTCATAGAAGTCTCATCCTTGAAATAATTGCAAACAGTATATTCTTACAAATGGACCAAACTGGACCAGTGGGTTCTAGAACACAATCTTTCTTGCCCGAGAATACCCTATCTTAGTCCACATTGTCTTTTGCAGAGCTTTCTTTCCTTCATCCAAAACATTTTTCTCTTTTCGCAGTTCTTTACTTGAACAGCTGTGGGAGACATTACAGGCTGGTAGCTAAGAACGGAAGTAAGAATCAGAAAACAGTGGGCTCAAAACCTGGCTCCACTGCTTACTAGCCATGCTGAAAAATTCCTAACCTTCTAAAACTGTTCCTTTATCTACAAAATGGGGTGATAATGGTATCTACTTTTTAGTATTGCTGAAATGATTCAATAACATGATATTCATAAAATATTTAGCATGGTCCCTGACCTGTTCTCAATAAATGGTAATAATTACCATAATTCTGTCTTAAAACAAGAAATTCCAGCTTCTCAGACAACAAGGAGAGCAGCCAAAACATACACTGAAAGGTTTTAAGGGATTTTAAGAAATTCTCCTGGGTGCGGTGGCTCACACCTGTAATCCCAGCACTTTGGGAGGCCCAGGCAGGTGGATCACCTGAGGTCAGGAGTCTGAGACCAGCCTGGCCAATATGGTGAAACCCCATCTCTAATAAAAATACAAAAATTAGCCAGGCATGCTGGCAGGCATCTGTAGCCCCAGCTACTTGGGAGGCTGAGACAGGGGAATCACTTGAACCCAGGAGGCAGAGGTTGCAGTGAGCAGAGACTGCGCTACTGCACTCCAGCCTGGGCAACAGAGTGAGATTCCATCTCAAAAAAAAAAAAAAAAAAAAACATCAATTTTGCTACCAATAAGGGAATGGATAGAACATGGTGTTGATTAATGGCCACAGAAGGCTTGTATGACTTTACACTCTGACTTAAGGCCCACCACAAGCCTGTTTCTCAAGGGCAGGCCCCTTAAAACACGACAGAGAGCAGAATAGGCTGGAAGGTCTTTAAGAGAGGAAAGAAGAGGCTCTATAGAGCATGCCCAGTTTTTCCTTCCAGGGATGGAGAGAGGCCAAGAGTGTAACTCTAACTGAAGTTCTTCCACAGGGAAAGATAAAGAGTGGAGAGAATGTTCTCACCCTCCCGCATCTCCAGTGAGAAAATATTTTCTCATTGGGGCTGCTCTACAAAAAATGCCTTGACTCTCCTGTCCTGCCAAGACATCTTCCTGCCCTACTGTTCTTTTCTTGTCTCTTCTTCTCCTCCATAGTATGATTCTCCAGGTTTGTTCAGGTTCAGATCAACATTCCCATATTCTGCTCCTTGAATTCTGTCTTGATACAGCAATAACATACAAAGATATTCATTTGCCTAGACTTTAATTTTGATAGTCCTTTGCTCCACACAAGTATGCCCTCACAACAAAACCCAATTCAGAAGAATACAATGACAGTAAGAATATACCAAAAAGACAGGAACCTGGAAAATACAGTATTCAGTCATCCAATCATTCCTGAGTGCCCAGTATGTGCATTTAGAGTGCTGTGAATGTGGCTGTGAACAAGACAAAATCCCGCCTTTTTCCCATGGGTCTTCTACGTGATGAGGGAGAAACAGCAAAGGCTGCCCAAAGAGGCTTATCTTCACATGCATGGAATAAACCAAAGACCTGAGGTCCCTCCCACCTCTTTCACTAACTGCCTGTGTGACAAAGTTTCTCTGGGCCTTCATCAAATAAGGGGATAAAATTAGACATAGAGGTTGCTGATTCAAAGTTCTCAAAGCTTTCCCTCTTCCTTGGGTCTTCCAAGGAGAGTCACCTCCAGACAGTGGTGAAATCAAGCACAGACATAGCTCACTTGGCAGCTGTCCTAGACAGACACCGTTGGAAAACAAAGAAATCCACAAGTCAGATGCCACTTTTATTTTAGACAAAATTCCTTCAAGTTCAGTGATCCTTTTTCTAAAGCCAAAGCAGATGATGCAGCAATGAAAGAGGAAACCGTAGATGCAAGGACAGAAGGAAGAAGTGAAAAACCATAATGGAAATGTCTGACTTAAATATTTCTATAAAACCTCTCCATGTAGAGGAGAAACAAAGGGGAAAGACACGTATTCAAGAAAATTAAAATTAGAAACGTTTGGTGCTTTAAGGAGTAAATGTCTCTATTCTGGAATATTAATCTGTATTCCTGCACATGCAATTAACCTAGTGGATTTGCAGTTGATTTCTTTCCCAGAAGTTGTAAGCTCAAATGCTTCATGAGTCAAACAAGTAACAAATATGTAAAGTGGCTGTAGGGTTTCAAACTCAAAACACAATAAAACCTCAAACTCAAAGCTGTTTTAAAATTGTGTAAGTCAGATTTGTGACCCCTATCATTTTTTTCCTTTTTTCAGACAGAGTTTCTTGTTGCCCAAACTGGAGTGCAATAGCGTGATCTCTGGTCACTGCAACCTCTGCCTCATGGGTTCAAGTGATTCTCCTGCCTCAGCCTCCTGAGTAGCTGCGATTACAGGTTAGCACCACCACGCCTGGCTGATTTTTTGTATTTTTAGTAAAAACGGAGTTTCACCATGTTAACCAGGCTGGTGTCGAACTCCTGACCTCAGGTGATCCACCCGCCTCAGCCTCCCAAAGTACTGGGATTACAGGTGTGAGCCACTGCACCCAGCCTTGTGACCCCTCTTAATCAATGTTTAGCGGAGAGAAAGGTACCCCCAAACATGCAGTAAGGTCACCCTCTGAGAGTGACCCTAGTAGGAATCAACACATAACAGATGAGATGAACCATTAATAGAAATCACCTGTCTTGTAATTGGTCTGTAAATGTATGGTTGAGATGATCCATTCTCTCTAGTCTTAGTCGAGGTAACTAGGTCAAGTCTCAGGGAAACAAGGCTGATTGAAATTAACAAGGCAGGAAGGGAAATTGCTAGGTTGCCTTTCCTACAGCCATTCCTTTCCTTTTCTTCACAGAACCCGGCTCCAATAAGAGGCTTTGAAAATGCTGGATACTGCCATTCATAGCCTCTCTTGCAGCTAGGAGTAAAAAGGTAATACTGCTCTAGCCAAGAAAACATGAGGGGAAATCTGCAGAGAGACATCTGGAAAATGTTTTCTCTTTGATAATAATAACAACCACAAGAAGAATGTTTATCCCTTTGCTGGGCACAGAGACTAAGGGGGAAATGGAGACTCTTCAAAGCAAGCACAGGCAAAAACTGCATAATTTGAACTTAAAAGGGTTGATATTACAAATCTATGTTTACTCTTGGAGAATGCCTTATAGATCAAAGGTTGTATCTAACTCTTCAGGCACTCCAAATCAAACACTACAGGAAATTTAAAAATCATGAAACCAGGTTTGGAAATTCCAAGAGAAAACCATCACGCTCACTCAGAAAAGAGTTGACAGTGAAGAGCTTGCTCTGGGAAATTGAAGATCCCCAGAGAGGCCTAGAACAATCCTTATGGAGATACTCCAGCTGAATTAGATATCCTGTTTACAGCAAATATCATGATGGATTTCGCAACTGCAGTTGGTGATCTCTGTCAAAGAAAGTATTAGGTCAAAGCAAAATATAATGAAATTTTAACCACTTCTTCAGCCTTCTCCACAAACAGCAACAGACCGTTCCGACATAAGAGTCAACTGTTATTCACCACTTTAGATCCTCTCTGGCTTACCTTTCTCTGTGGCCTCCGACCTCTTGTTCCAGTTTAGCCCGTACTGGGGCAGCCAACTCTGTGTAAATTTCAACTAGCCTTACTTAGTGCATGCCAAAAGCACCTCACTCCATGCACACCCCTGACACCCTGTCCTGCAGCTTTCCTGTTGATGCTGGATATGAGATCCCATAGAACAAACAGTTCCTGCATATGTACTTTTCAGGAGTACAGGGGGATTAACACTCACTGGAAAGATTATTTGACCAAAGAGAAACAGGAGCCAGCAAATAATTCTCCCTTTAACACATCGTAGGACTGTCCCGAGAAGCAATCATATATACCTCTTTCAATAACAGTTTCCCAAGATCAAGGGATCAGTTGCTCTTAATAGCCATCCTCCAATTGCATTTCCCTCCTTCCCTGCCTCACTCTTCCCTTATTCCTGATCCCTACTAGAGAATTGCACTCCCTAATAAAGTTATAGTACACAAGCCTTGGCCTCAGGCACTGCTAAGCAACAAAAGCTCAAAATATATTCATTTTCTTATTGCTGTGTAACAAATGACCACAAACTTTGTTGCTGAAAACAATACCTGTGTATTAATCAGGTCACAATTCTGTAGGTCAGTCTACTCCAGTGCAGTTGGGTTTATAGCTTAGGTTAACATAAGACTGAAATCAAGGTGTAGGCTGAGTTGTGTTCTCATCAGGAGTTCAGAATCCTCTTCCAAGCTCACCTGGTTTGGGTAGAATTCAATTCCTTACAGCTGTAAGGTAGAGGTTCCCATTTCCTTGCTGGCTGTCAGCTGGGGCCTGTTCTCAGCCCCCAGAGGCTACCTGCATTCTTTGTCACATGACCCCCTCCATCTTCACATCCAGCAATGGCACACTGAATCATTCTTGTGCTTCTGATTACTCTTACCTCAGCCAGGCATGGTGGCTCATGCCTGTAATCCCAGCACTTTGAGAGGCCGAGGTGGGTGGATCGTCTGAGGTGAGAAGTTCGAGACCATCCTGGCCAACATAGTGAAACCCTGTCTGTACAAAAAAATAAAAAATACAAAAAATTAGGTGGGCATGGTGATGGACACCTGTAATCCCAGATACCCAGGAGGCTGAGGCAGGAGAATCTCTTGAACTCGGGAGATGGAGATTGCAGTGAGCAGAAATCACACCATTGCACTCCAGCCCAGGCAACCAGAGGGAAGCTCCATCTCAAAAAAACAAAACAAAACAAATCTCTCTTACCTCTAAGTGTCAGACCCCTAGACCCAGATTTAAATGACTGACATGATCAGTTCAGGCACACCTAGATAATCACTCTATCTTAAGGTCCACTGACTTGGAATCTTAATCATATTAACAAAATCCCTTTGGCCATATAATGTAACAAACACATTCCACCCTCACACTTGAAGGAAAGAGGATTATACAAAAGCAAGAGTCATTGGGGAATCATCTTAGAATCCTGCCTATCACTCAGACAGTTGGTACCAAGAGGTGACCCTAGAGAGCAGACCCTTAGGATGAGATTTTGCTGCCAGACTACTCAGAGATTGGAAAGCAACGGAGTTTCCAGCATTGGTGGTAAGTGGGTGGAAACTCCCAAATCCAATGATATTGCAAGTACTGTCTTTCACCTGAAATTAATTGATATTAAGTGGCGCTAGAAGGTAAGGCAACGAGATATGCAATGGCTATGGTACTTGAAAAGTATGGGAGCAGTTATGACTAAAAATTGTGGAATGGCCTTACTGCTATTAACAGAATCAAAAGCCTTGAAAAAAGAAAATGATAGCCGGGCACAGTGGCTCACACCTGTAATCCCAGCACTCTGGGAGGCTGAGGCAGGCAGATCACGAGGTCAAGAGATCGAGATCATCCTGGCCAACAGGATAATTAAATAAAATAAAAATTAGCTGGGCATGGTGGCATGCGTCTGTAGTCCCAGCTACTCCGGAGGCTGAGGCAGGAGAATTGCTTGAACCCGGGAGGCGGAGGTTGCAGTGAGCCGAGATCGTGCCATTGCACTTCAGTCTGGTGCCTGGTGACAGAGCGAGACTCTGTCTCAAAAAAAAAAAAAAAAAAAGAAAGAAAGAAAAGAAAATGATAGACTCAGGACAAACAACTACCACCAGTTCAAAGCTTGCTTTGAAAGCCAGAGGGCCACTGAGATAATTTTAAAAATACATTTATCTCCTGTCACCAAAGGGCAAAGCTAAGGAGACATGCACTGTGCTTCATTCTTAGTGGTAGCAGGTGTGAGATGCAACCTCTCATTTTTTATCTTGGAAGGGATGACCTAGCATGCTCCAGACCACTGGATCCTTACAAGCTTCATCAATGTAGCAAGTCCCTGAATATTCATAAGATTTATCTTCCACTCTCTGGTATACATCATTCTACTAGGCATTGGTACTTGCCACTCTTTACTTATCAGGTCCATTCAGCAAGATGCCATATGGTGATCTGATGATAGTCAACATGATTGAAGCCCCTATATTAGAAAGTAGAAGTATTTACATTGTTTGGGGCAGGGATATGAATGTGTACTGCCGTCCTTCCCGTGAAGATGAATTACTTTTCATCTTTCCTTTTAAGGGGATTGAGGAGTATGAATTCACTAGATCAATAGCTGCTTATCAAGTGCTAGAGGTTGGGTTGATCTGAACCAGTAAAGATACCATATACAAGAGCAGGTGTAGCTGGGATTAATACCCAGTTAAGTATGTGGAAGTCTACACTCTGCCATAATCCATTCAGATTTTGCAGGAACCATACAGGTAAAATGAAAGGAGGAAATGATACTAGCTATATCTTTTAGGTCTTTCTTGCCAATCTCTGCAATTCCTTCTGGCATGCTCTATGCTTCTGATTTATAATCTTGTCTGATGGGGTGGAACAGTGGAGAAGAGTAGTTTCAGAAGCTTCCACTTGACCTTTTTTAAATTCTAATGGCCCAAACTCTACTGATTGGGGAACAACTATAAGAATTCTTCTAGTGCTAAGTATATCTCTAATAACTTCAGGAACTGAGAAATAACGAGCTTGGTTCACAGATCCATTGGACCCATTATGATATAGAGGTTCATGACAGATTTTGGGATTCCCTGGTATCAGTGTCCACCTAAATCTCTTATCTAAAAATCTTTGAATCTGAGTCTTCTGTTTTTTCCAGCGTAGTTATCTGACAAAGGTCTACAGGTCTCTCCAGGGAAAGAGAGGGAAATATTTACCTATCCACTTGTGTTACAGAGTCCTTCCACAAAAAGACCTGTTCTCCCCTTCAAACTGGATCTCTGAATTACTTAAATCTAGCAACAGGGTGAGAGACCATAGTTTTCTTTTGCAGTGTCTAAAATTAGCCTTCTACTTAACAGCTTTCAATATTTTGTTTAGGTTAGGAAGTTGAGTTACATCCTAATTAGCTATCTGTCTATGTCTCATTCCTAAGAACACCATGATTTATTAGGTTATCACTAGCGAAATCTGCAGGCCAGGGCACCTTGTTTGCCACTCTAGTCTTGCTTTCTTTTGATCGTTCTCTTTCTGCTCCTGATAGTTAAGTATCAACATCTGACCTCTACCATTCTGAAATACCATCACCCCCATTATTATTGTAAAATACAATTTCATGACAATGTTGCCTACAGAAGAGGACCACCATTGTGTTTCTCAAAGATAGGTCTCCTGTAACTGATGAATTCCTTACTGTCTTAATGAAGGTAATCTTCTCATAACCCTCTGGACAACATAATCAAAGGATGAATGTGCAGCTTTTTCCCTGACCTTCTGAAGATCTGCTCCTCAGTGTGATGCCAAGGCAGTTCGGTGTCTTCACCAAATCTTTATTGCTACTGCACTTCATTATTGTATACAGCTTTGGCTTAAGGCATCAGACAGATTATATAGATGGCCTTGCATGTCCTTTGCCAGGCCCAGTGGCTCATGCCTATAATCCCAGCACTTTGGGAGGCTAGGTGGGCAGATCACTTTAGGTCAGAAGTTCAATATCAGCCTGGCCAACATGGTGAAACCCCATCTCTATTAAAATACAAAAGTTAGTTGGCCTTAGTGCCAGATACTTGAGCGGCTGAAGCAGGAGAATTGCTTGAATTCAGGAGGGAGGTTGCATGAGCTGAGATTGTGCCACTGCACTCCAGCCTAGTCAACAGAGAGGGGCTCCAACTAAAAAAAAAAAAGACCTTACACGTCCTTCATATAACATTGAATCCCCAAGTTTTTGAGTTCCCAGTAAACCCTATCCTATCCAGACTTATATTCTGCTCTCCATTGCCCAATTCCCTCAAGATTTACGCTCTCATGTTCCTCTAGTCCCTGCTCATACATATTAATCAGATCCAGCAATTCCTCCAGTGCATATTTTTCTCCTGGAGCAAGAACTCTGCATCCCTGTTTGAGCTGTGCTGACACCTGACCCTTGTTACTGACCCATAGGCAATGAGAGGTAGCAGGGGTAGCTCTTGAGAACAGAGGCACCTGCCTCAGGTAAGCTCAATGCATAGTCTCCAAGCAAGTGGAGGCTCTTCTTAGCAATGAGAAAGGGGAATTTTCTTTTTGCCTGATTTGAAAGATTCCAGATTCTCAGGCTTGGCCACCCAAATAGTCCTATCCTAGATCTCAGGGTTCACTTGTTTCCTATCAGAATCCTGACTTTGACATGAGAAACCTGCCAAAGCTGCAGGCAGAACTGCCAAAGTTGCAATTCTGCCTCCCTTACAGTTAAATCCTAGTCCTAATATTCAGCAGTCTTCCCTGAAACTACAGAAGAAAGAGTATCATTAAATTCTACCATAGAAGCCTTCTGTCTCACACCTGTGTTATTATTTTCTGAAGGTCTCCAAAGCAATCCAAAAAAGCCACACAACTTCACAAGTCTTTATAATTATCTTTGCTCCTGTACCATTCAAGTGCATAACAACCATGTAACTTAGTGCCTCTCTTTCCACTGATCTCTCATCCCAATTTTTTGATGCGATCACATGCCAGGATTTATCACCTTCCACATACTACCTGCAATGCGTTTCTTATTGCCATCTGACCAATGAGTGACCCAGCTCTAAATTCCCATGATGACAGCTTGCTTTCTAGTGTCATTTCTGATA